AGGGACCCATCCAACCTTCCCCCTGCTCCCTGACTGCCCCCCGGGACTCCCCTTACCATGCCCATGTACCACGTGTAGGCAAAACACGCTGCAGGCAGCAGGGGGGAGCAGAGGAGGGCTCTGGCTGCTGGAGGCCAACGGGAGCAGCTCAATCAGGCCCAGCTGCCCAATCAGCAGCCACACTGTGCATGGAAGGGAGGGAGGAGAGGGGAAAAATCCCAGATCTTTTAACCTTGTTACCAATTCCTCCCGGACGGCTATTTAGAGACGGAAAAGCCGGACATGTCCGGGGAAATACGGACGGATGGTAACCCTACATAAAAGAGTCTAGAAGCACATTTATACACCTCTGATTCTGAGGGCAACTAACTGCCATACTTATAGAGAAAACTGAAGAGGCTCTCAAGTTGGCTGAAAACAGGTATTATAAAGGGTGCGGGAGACGAAGGCTAATAAGCTGCTTATAAATTAAGACAAGAGAAGGCAAAATTAAAAAATGCCAAAGGAGTAGTAAGTTTTAAGACCTGAGAGATTACTGAAGAACTGAGGAGGTTCTATATAGTTCTTTATGTCTTCAAACCATGACAAGCCCACAGGAAAAATTATTATATATATAATAATTATATATATATATGAGAGGTTAACATTCCAAAGTTAACTCAGCAACAGTTAACAGATTGGAAAGATCAGTAGAGACAGAGAAAGCTACAAATTTGATTAAATTAATGCCAACACCAATCCCCAGGACCAAACAGGTTTTCAGCAGAGTTTCATCAGGTGAAGTCACATCACTGCAGACAAACCAGATACAATGCTTTTGTAGAGAATAAGGAGATTCCCCAATACAATGAAAAGGGCAGATGATATAATTCTAAAGCCACAGAAAGACAAGCTGCTATGTGGCTTGTTAAGGCCAATCTTGCTTCTTAATATAGACATGAACATGTTTTCAAAGTCTCTTGCCAGAATAGAAGCAATCCTTCCTCAGTTAATACAAATTAGTTAAATAGGTTCCACATGCAATAGACAACCGAATAACATTAGAATATCAGGATTGTTTAATAATATAGGGAACAAAAAACTGAATGCCTGTGCTATTCTTAGGCACGGAAATGGCATTTGATAAAGTAGAGTAGCCTTTCCTAAAAAACAATGCTATTGGAAATGGGTCTTGAAGTCAATATAAAAACAAACCAAACAAACCATGGATAAATATGACTCTCCCTTAGATAAAACAAGAGTGAATGGGGGTATATGCCCAAGAATTTCAATTACCAGAGGAACCAAATAAGGTTGTCCTCTATTCCTTTTGTTGTTTGCTCTCTTTATTTAACCCCGGCTCAAAACGTAAGCCAGAAGAGCAAGTTAAAATGAATAAAAACTGAACTTACTGTTGTGCTGTATGAAGACTGTGAATACAAATCATTACCAACCCAGTGCAATCTATGACACATTCTCAAGATAATTAATTCAGAGGTATATTAGCCTATACAATTATATTAAATCTGAAATTAGATCTAAGGATGGAAAGATCTAAGGTTCAATAGCTGCACAATACATTATTTGCTTAAATTACACAAATTCTGAAGTATTTAGGAGTCAATATTTCTCCTAACTTCAAATCAGCTACATGAAATGAACTTTCCTCCCATTATTTTGAAACTGAAAAGTTTGTTGGATTGGAAAACACTACATTTGTCTTGATCACATAGCAACAGTAAAGAACTGTTGCCAAAAAGGTTTCCTACTTCAGGTCCTATCAATAACATCAAGAAGAATAAGGAAATTCAAACAGGAGTTACATTAGTATTAGACAATAAACATATATCCACGCTGGAAGGGGAATTGGCAATACCAAATTTACTAAAATATTATTGGGGGGACTATGTGCATCTAACACACCTCAAAACCCATGTAGGAAGCCTAAGTTTCAGGAGATGATTAACCAGGATAGAAAATCTCATTAAAGAAAAGGGCAGCCGGAAGGGGCTGACTACCAGATGGCGCAACAAATTGTTACTGATGGATTGAAATATAGATAGAAGGTGAGCAGCCATAAATGGATTGTTTAAGGATAACACACACAGACTCTGAATAAGTTTGTCTGAAACTTCCATAAACATGTTAACAAAGGCTCTTTAGTAGTTAATGACACTGAATTCACTGGCTTGAAGAACACACTTTCTGGTATGCTACCACATGAGTCTTAAGATTTTAATTCACTATATATTAAATAACTTGTTTTGAATTTTTAAAATGAAAGAAAGTTGAACAACAGTTCAAAATATTTACAAAAGTAGCAAATACCTGAAGTACTCACAGCTGTGGAATAAGGGTTATGAACTCCAATATTTTCAGCCCAGCAGCCACATCCATAAAGAGCTGCCTGAGAAGATAAATGGATCTTTTATAAATTCAAGTACTCAGTTTTTGGGGAAAAGGGAGATTATTACATAGGATAAAGGAATAAGATTCAAAATAGCTACTCCAGTACATTTTGCTACATCCTCCAACAGTGAATCCTGAAGAGGAGTGCCTTGGAGGTGCTCTTATCTCCCTAGGTAGGGATGAAGGGCTCAATCTTACTGCAATGGTAAAACTCACATTCATTTCAACACGAGCTGGAATGGGCCCTATTACCATAGGAATTCTTTAAAGCATGTTTTATGTTTAAAACATTACAACATAAATGCTTTTAGCTACACATTTAAAAGAACCCTTTAAAATACTGTAGCTAAAGAATCTTAAGGTCAGTCCAAAAGTGAGTTACCCATGGGATGATGCCAAACAGTGGACTAACCAGTTGTACATAAGCTCTAGCGCATACAGACTCTTGAAGTGTCTCAAAATTGTTACTCCATGTTGATAGGCCTATCTATGCTGTGTGTTCTTATAGTATCATATCTTTATCACCTCCTTCAAAAGATTCTAGCACAACAAAAGAGCATCACTGAATTTGAAAATGGACACATTCTCCTCACATCAAAAACGTATAGAACTAGTAAATTTATCTAAAAGGTATCAGAGTGGCACTTTTTCTTTTAAGCTTTGTGGGGTATTTAATGAGCGGCAAAAGTGAGATACTAGCACTAGCAAAAGCTAAGCATACCAAGAACAGGCTCTAGCTTTCTCTATCAATGCATCCCAAGTGTGACCTACAACACAACCGTTATTCCAGTTTTATGTAATAACCAGAAAGCATGCCAAATTAGAAGTTTTGCAACACTGATAAAGATCCTCTAGACTAGACAAAACTCATTTCCCCATACAGAGTAATCAAGAACTGAATCCAGGACTTCAGATTTGAACGCTAAGGCATCAATTCACTATCACTTGGCTCTTGCCTAGTTTACAGATGCACTGTTTATTAAATATGTAAGCCATTCCCTGGTAATACTAAGTAATTGTTCCCAGTTGAAAATACATACTCACCTGACCAACTCTTCCAGGATGCTTCAAAGCTAAACCTCCACTGGAGACAGCAGCAGCAACATTTCCTTCTTGGTCAACAACGACTGCACCAACTGTATCCAATGTTCCTGAATCATTCTCCTGCAGGACATACAAATAGAAGCAACTACTAAAAATAGTATACTAACAGAGGGCTAAAATTAAATTATATTTCTTTAAAAGTATGCAAAAGCAATGCTCAAAATCTGATAACTAACAGGCAATCCAACAAGAAAAAGCTTCTTTATTGCTGTCCATGGTGTACCTGGTCTGTAATGTTGTAAATTTTCATTCAAAGTGGCAATTCACTTACTCATGAATAGTCACTGAATCAAGGAAAGAGATGGAGAATGACTCTCGAGCCACTGAAACAAAAGTTATAAGAAGGGTGGCACTCTCACCAGCTCCGCATTTTGTTACACCAGCCCAAAAATGTTTCAGTAATGCCAAAATGAAGTTTCATGTCAACGCTACCAAATGTGTTCATTTTTTGATATTGTCAAAACTATTTGGTGAACTTGACCAATTCACAAATAGTTTCAGGTCAACCAGAACTGTATTTTTTAGCAAATAATTTAATCATGGAAAAAATTATGCTCAATTCTACTATTAACTCATTTATGGGTATTCTGTGTCACTAGCTCCATGGCATACATTTAAGTTGTTATAAAAACTCAATCCTGCACACAATCACCCTGGTGAACAGTTCCACTGAATTCAATTAAGCTACTCATGTGAGTAAAGTTACCCATGTACTTGTTTGCAGGATTGCCCCTCCTACACCCCCAAAAAGCTGCTCTTTACCCAATTATCAATCCCTTGAGCGTTCCCAGTTCCAAAAGTCTACTAATTTAAAAGCTCATGCTGTGGGACAAAGAAAAAAAGTTATGGCTTAATCTATTAACCAGAATTTTTACCACTCAAAGAATATGCGTATGTTACATAGTACTTTAGTTATATATTTTTGCTTGCAATCTTCACATACCACTGTGATATGAACTCAGCAACACCTCAAGGTGGTGTAACACAGCTCACCCCCGCAGCTGGTACTCTTGAGGGGGAAAAGGGAAGCTCACCCCTCTTCTCCTACCCAGTAACAGGCAGCTTCTTTCTTCCACCCACATTATTATTTCTGAACCAGCACCTGAAATTGGCACCAAACACATCCAATATTACTCCTAGAACCACCACCTATCTCAGGTACTTATCTGGCCCTCATCACCATAGTATTTGAGCACCTCACAATCTAATGTAATTTATCCTCACAACACCCCAGGAGATAGTACTTCCCCACTTCCATTTTTCAGATGAGGAACTGAGCCAAAGACTAAGTGACTTGCCCCAGGCCACCACAGAAATCTATAGCAGAACAGAGAATTGACCCAGGTCTCTAGATTGCCAGGCTAAGGCCCTACTTATCCAGGACCATCCTTCTTCTCTGACTGCAACTGACACTCTTCCTCCTTTCTACTCACTCATCACCCCTCAGCTTCTGTAACAAAAACAAAACACTTAAGAGCAAGTGAGGAATTCAACGCTACCTGCTATAATTTTTTTCCAAAGCTCAAGTCTGCAGCATCACAGTGGCAGTCACTACCCATGCTCCTCCAGTGGAGCTGACAGCTAGGACTACAGTCACACTGTACCGGTAATTTATCTTTTTAGAAGTTAAGGAGAAAGTGAAAGCTAGAATGGAGGGTCTTCCATGGAAAATTCTCCATAGAGTTCATTCATTTTTCTCTACTTAAAAATGAGAGATTAGGAAAAAACAAGTCTCTTCAAATATACAAAATTAGAATTCCCACTTCAATTTTTTGCATGTAAATAGCTTACGAACTTAAATGCTGGATGTAAAATATCACACACTATGGCTATTAACTCCAGTAACTAAGTAAAATGACTCACATAATACACATACCAGGTTCCAAATTTCTAGTGCCTTTTCTTAGGAACCTAAGTTTTCAGACACTCGAAGAGGAATAAGAAAAAAAAACTTTATTTTTAATTATTATTAATCTTCCTACTATGTATATTTGTAAGTGTACCCTACTATTGAATGTCACAGCCTGGTGTTAGCAACTGTAGGTCTCTATCTTGGTGTTTTATAGTAAAATTGACTAGAGGATGACAACTCCAGTCACAGTAACTTTTGAGGTTTTGAAATTTGATTTTGTTACAAATTAGAAGGAAACCAAATTGAATTGCTACTTAACCAGATCAATTAACCAAGTATCAAAAAGAACTATTTCAACTTCTTCTGTACTTGCATTAACTCCAGATACAGGAAACCGCTCTCCACCATCCCCCCAGAAAACGACACCACAAAACTACAAAGCAACCTGGGCCCCAAAGGAAGCTGAATATTCCACCATATTCCAATACTTTGCCTCAATGAGAAAACATTAAAATTTTACGACTTTCTCTCCTTCACTAAATACAGCTAGAGAAAAAGAATTTTTAGTTAAAAGGAGTGCTATGTTATGTTTCAGTTATGTCAAAGCTTAAGTAATCCACTAACATACAGTCACCAGGAGTGAAAACCCAAATAATTAACTTACCTAAAGCAATTTACAATGAATACCATTTCTAGTCACATGCTGAGTGATTCCTTCAGGCTGATTTTTTCTGGAAGGATTTGGCCAAAATGGTTCAGCTGTATTTCAAGAACGAGGTTAGTGTTATTTACCCTTTCCCATGATACAAAAAACCCGGAGTCACCCACTGAAATTAATAGGCAGCAGGTTTAATACAAACAAGAGGATATACTTTTTCACATAATGCACAATAACCTGTGAAACTCATTGTCATGAGATGTTGTGATGGCCAAAAGTATAACTGGGTTCAAAAAAGATCTAGATAAGGTCACAGAGGATAGGTCCATCAATGGCTATTAGCCAAGATAGTCAGGGACGTAAGACTATGCTCAGGGTGACACTAAACCTCTGACTGCCAGAAGCCAGGATCATCACAGAATCATAGACAGATCATATCAGAGTTTCTATGGATAGAAATTTCATGCTTGAATAATAAGAGTATAAACAGTAGGAATATACTTCCGAGCACCTGACCAGGATGGTGACGATGACTGAAAAACTCAGGAAGATTAGAGAGGCTACAAAAACAGAAAACCCCAAAATAATGGCGGATTTCAACTATCCCCATATTGTCTGGGTACGTCACCTCAGGATGCAGAGATGAAATTTCTAGTCACTATTAATGACTTCGTCTTGGAGCAGCTGGTCCTGGAACCCACAAGGGGGAGAGGAAAGTCTCTCTTCCTGCAGTCCCCGACTCAATCACTACACACCTTCCCAAGATCTTAAGTAAATGAAGCAGAGGTTCTACAAATGGCCCCTTTCACTGCAAAACCTTGATTTTTTTACCAGAGCATCATTCATCCTCTGCACTGAACCAGGCAGGGTCATGCACGATAAAAGTGATCATGTGACTAAAGATTATCACACTATGTAGGCACAATGGGGCTAAAATAAGGTTGCACAGGAATTTTGGTTCTGCCATTAATTAACTTCTGAGTTTCTATGTTAAAAAGAACATTAAGGGTGGGATTCACAAGGTGGATTTAGCCACCAAATTATCAATTTAAGGCCAACATTTAGGCACCACTAACCATTTAGGCACCACTGTCATTCACAACCCTCCTGTTCAGTTACCATCTAACTCTGTAACGTGCTTAGAATCCCTAGGAACCTATGTTTCCACCTTTAAAGTCCCCAAGATGCCTACATTTCAGTGGCTGGAAACACTCTCAGCTGCCCAAGTCCTTACATCTTGACATTGTCCAGTAGCTCTAAGCCTTGGGGGGAACCCAAACTAAACAGTCCCCTCTCTATCTGGCCTTCAAAACCCAATCCTGTAGGTGTGTGCTCTGAGCACACCTAAACCCACACAAAAATGATTGCTCTCCCTTTATAACCTTTAGCCCAGTGGTTACAACACTCACCTGAGATGTGGAAGACTGATTCAATCACACCCTCTTCCTGACGTGAAGTAGGGACTTGAATTTGTCTCTCTCACCTCCTAGGCAAGTGCCCTAACCACTGACCTGTAGAGTCATTCTCACTTTCCTAGCCCCATGAATATGTGATTACTTATAAAACACGAACTATTTCAACAACAGGAGAGATTAAGAGAAATCTGTCCCAGGAGCACCCATAGCCCAATGGTAAGGGCACTCCTGGGAAGCAGGAGACTATGGTTCAAGTCCCTGCTCCACATGTAGCAGAGGGGGATGGAACCCAGCTCTCCCACCTCCTGGATGAGTACTCTACCCACTGCGCTAAAGGCTGTAAGGGGTCTCCTCATTCTCCTCTGTTTCTTGAAAAATGGCTGACTGGGCTTAGGCATCTAACTGCAGAAAAGGATTCATGGCTATGAATCTCAAGCAGAAGGACGACTTCCAAGCAGTATCCCCAAAGGGAGGAAGGAGCTTTGGAATCCAGTCCAGATCTGAAGATAGCACTGCTGAACCAAGTGCCACACTGGATCTAGCAGCATGGGATGCGGTATAGTGTTTCTAAAATGTATGTATTGAAGCCTACGTAGTGGCCCTCCATAGCTCATATACTAGCACATTCTTAAATTATGTCGTAGATGTTACCTGTGATCTGGTCAAATGCACTATCATTCTTTGGGGGGGGGGGAAGGGGAGAGGTAGGGGCTGAATGACTGCCGCATCGTAAGTGATAATACATCCAGAATACTGTGAAAGGCAGGATCTGCCATCAAAGCATCAATGTCCAAGACCCTACGGGCTGACGTGATGGCTACTAAAAAGCTACTTCTGAAGATTAGTAATATGTCACCCAGAGTGTTCTGACTGCAGGCACAAGTATATATTTCCTAAACTCCCTAAATCACAATTAGAAAAAAGGAAAATACTAACATACAATTAAGTTAGTTAAAATATCTTTAAAACTAAATCGTACTGTCAATCAAATCCAACAAAATCATGCAATTTAGGGCTTTTGTTTTTCAAAAGCAGTGGGCCTGAACAAAGATTATTGTGTACATATGACTCAAACCCAATGTTACTCAAATCAAGCAGATGGCAATTCTTCAGAAAAGTGGCTTGTTTCAATATAACTGGAAAAAAGCTTAACAGCCAACAAAAATTTGCAGATGAAGAACAGGACCTTCTGCCATCCTCTAGTACTAATAAACATTTTCAACCATGTTCAAAGTCAGTTTTTTTTAAAACAGATATTTAGGAAAGGAATGGCATTTTATACTGGAAAGAAGAAGTTAACAGGGGGAACAAAGTGAACATCTGATAATTACTTGTGCCTGCGGTCAGAACACTCCGGGTGACAGTTGGCCAATCAGTCAGTACTCCATGCCTAGCTGGGGAATAAACCAGTTATAGTCAACTTCAACAGAAACAGCTCCACTTATGAACACATTTAAGATTAGCTCACATGCAAAGGAGTATAATTTCTCAAACCCTGTATGATCTAATCATTTAGCATGCACATACAATCTCAAAGATGTGGAAATATATTTTAGGTCAGTTCCTAGTTTCTTCATCCACTAAATGTAGTGAAATTAAACAGATTTTTAACTTTAAATTAGAAACTCATAAGGAAATGCTAAAGAATAAGAGAGATTAGAACTTTTAACTAAGTTGTAGAAATTGTGAAAAATACACTAAGAATATTTTGTTGTTCACTTGGGCCTCGTCTAAACAGTCAGTTAGTGTACAGCAAGCACACTAGCATGCTGTGTGGATGCTGCTACTGCACACTAAAAAAGTTCAATAGTATGTTTTGACATACTGCTGTTAGACAGCAAAACTACTCTGGTCAGTGGCATTGTCTAATTCTTATATACAAGGAGTACTCAATGCTATGGAGGAATACTTTAAAGCTGTGGTGGGCCGCACGCAGCCCGTCAGGGTAATCTACTGGCGGGCCGCGAGCCAGTTTGTTTACACGGACCGTCCGCAGGCATGGCCGCCTGCCGCTCCCAGTGGCCGCGGTTCGCCGTTCCCAGCCAATGGGAGCTGCGGGAAGTGATGCCCCGAGCTGCGAGAGCGCTGCAAACTCCAGCGCCCCCTGATAGTGCTGAGGCGTTTTAAATGTGCACATTAGGTATTACAATGTCACAAAATTATTTTACCAATCTGTTTTGAACGTTACCTGCAATATATTAATGGTAAGACTAATACTTATCAGTTAACCATTTAATATTTTACATCCCTAATTAGCAGCTGTAGGCTACAGAGGCTGCCTCTTTTCCTCTTCCTCTGTGGGCCTCAGTGGGTACACTCTGCTTTCACATCCATTCCTTCCATGAACCAGAACGACAGGTACTGAGAGAATGGCACAGCCATTTCGCCTACATTGTCCATCTTTAGCTTTGTGAAAGAATGAAGAGGAAGCACTGGAGGGAAAGGTGAGAACCCACCCCCAATACACGCGGAGAATGGGGCAAAACCCCTCCAAGATGGGTAGGGGAAATTTTGCACTTCTCAGAAGAAGTTTACTATAAAAGTGCATAAGTGCATGAAATTTTGAGAATTCTATGTTTTTGACACCAGATGAAGTAGTGAACAAAGTTTTGGATTATATTTTATCTAGTAAAATATTCTGCCTTTGGTAACGGAACCTTCATGCCACGCTTTAACTTAGCATGAAACGCTGCTGTAAGCTTTAAAAGTCCCCTTGCACCACCTTAATTACAATGGCAGTAGCAGGTGCTAGTCCACACTCAAACAAGGATCTGATATCCTCGTATCAGATTATCCAAAAGCTTTAATTGATAATGATTCCTGCAGTATATGTTCCACTGACTCAATTTTATTAAGCCAAATAGTGGCGTTTCCAAACTAATTCAGTCAAATGAACATGCTAGTTTTCCGACATACAAATACACTGGCCAAATGTCCAATTGATGTAGTCATGGTGAAATCAATGAGTTATGCTGATTTACACCAGCTGAAGATCTGGTCTTTTGAAATTACATGTACCTCACTGGCTAACACCAATGAAATGTAAGTGTATATGCCTCTCAACTGTAACCGCATAAAGCTGAGTCAGGAGACTTCTATTTTCTGAAGAGGCTGCAGTGAAATTAGGACAATCACTCTGGCTGTAATTAAAAACGTTGGGTTAAAACATTCACTTGCATGGAACAGATTTGTCAAACAAATGAAAGACACCCCAGGGAAACTCTGTTAGGGGGAAAAAAGAAAAATCAAGCTCATTAAGGTTTTATCATGGAACGTACAAGTGCCACGTAAAGGCTCCAATCCTTAGATTTTTAAATATTCACTTTATTGCATATGCAAGTTCTGATCCATTTCATGACTTCTGAAAAATCCACCCAACAAAGAGAATGGATGTCCAAAATGAAACGTTAAATGAGTAAACACTATCTAAACAAGACATTTACATGTGAACTAGTCCTTTGGGAAAAAAATTAAGGCTGTGAAAAAATGTTGTGTCTTAAGGAAGCGGAAATTCAATTGGCTTTCACAAGACCCTCTGACTAGTCAAGCTATCCACAGAGGACTGATCCAATTCCCATTGTAGTCCGAGGGAGTCTTGACTGGCATTAGTGGGCTCAGAACCAGGCCCAAAATGAGTTATCCAAGTCTGGTTTCAGTGTAATTTTTGTTGAGTGTGCTACAGAATTGCTACATCCAATTATTTAATCCGTCGTCCCATCCGAGGGAGGCCAGGGACCAACAAATCCCTCTTCGCCCTAAAGCTGTTCCCTTCAGATCAAGTTTGATGCATATTGAAAGCTCTCTCACTGGCCTGCAACTGCCTGCATTCTACATATTACGTAGACACATTATTTCAGCCCACAGCGTTGTCAGTCTGGTTTCTTTCACAAGGACCGAATTCACTGAAATTTAGAGAAAGTGGTGGGATGAATCAAGTTACTTACCAGTAAGCAGAGTTCTCATATATGGTCATCTCCTCTACCTACTATCCCTGGTCTGTGGGTGCTCCCCATAACTGCTGCCACATGACCCTTGAAATTTCAAATTGCAGGTTGGTAAGCTCATGCACCAGCACATGACTTGCCCCACATTACATGAATGTCAGAGACCCCTCCTCCCTCAGTTATAGGGAAGTGTGCACAAACCTGTAAGCAACCAGCGAAGTTCAGATACCAGTAAATAACCCATTTTTCCCCTCTAATTCTTATCTCCTCTACTGAGCCTCAGCTTTTCGAAGACTGAGAATTAGTACTTTTACATAAGGAAGATATGATTTGAGAATGTAGAAGAAATAGGCCTGATTTTTCACCACCTTGTGCAGACATTTACACCTGTATAGCGCAAGGGTAAAATATTATTACACTTTCGTATGCAGTATTATTGTAGCCGTATTGGTCCCAGGGTATTAAAGAGACAAGATGGGTGAGGTAATGTTGGCCCAATAAAAGATATTACCTCACCCACCTTGTCATTCTAGTTCCATAGCATTTACGTGCACTTTAAATGAGGGTAAGTGACTACAAGGCAGTGGAGAATCAGGCCACCAGAGTCTGGAGATTTGGCTGTCCAAGAAAGGCATCGATCTCAAACAAAATGCAGGTTAATGTTTAAAAAAATAACAGACTAGCCTTCGCTTTCACAGTTGTCATATTTCACCGAAGGGATATGTTTCGCATAGGTTATAGCGGTTGCCTTGCTGCACCACTTGTAAAGTCTTCAATAGACCAACCCTACAGGTGTGAATTATACAGTCCACCACTAATTTTTCTTTTATTTAGTATTGTACTTACTAAGTATCCTTCTTTAGCCAACTATATATTAATACTTATACTGTAAACCTATATATGCTGAAGTGAGAACAAAGGCTCAAAACTCACACTAGCAAGGAGGGGAAGAAAAGAAGGAGAGAATTGTGGCAGTTTTGTAGTAAAGGAGCATAAGTAACGTGGGCCAGAGTCAATGCTAGATGCATGAACTGATGCACATTTACCTACCTGATATTTCAAATTTCACCGCTTCCAGGTCCACAAAGCAGTGTTCTCAGGAAACATTAAAAAATGGGAAACAGTGATAGATCCCAAGCTAGAGAAAATGTTTTATTAGATATTTATCTGCTCATATTTACACTTGTCATATTTCCACTTTAAAACGTGTAATAGTATAGATATATTGACATCACAAACAAGACAAAAGGCATCTTTTTCACAGCTCTTTTGAAACTGTAAATAGCAGGAAGTTCTATCACCACAGAAGATAATTTAGATGATCTGATATTATACTGATACTAACATGCATAAGATGGCCAAAGATGAGTGGTTTGTGATGCTATATCAGGTGACCATCTACAAAATGAAAAATTTAGATATGAAATTTTCGCGTTATAAATTATCTTTGTGGTAAGGGTGACAAAACATCTACTGACCTTTTCACTTGATTGTCTTCTTTTCTTTAGCTGAATAAGATCTGTTTCCACCTTTTCTGCCAACTCCAGCTTCCTTTTGTTCCTCTTAAAAGCTGCTAAACTAAACCCTATAAAATATTTTAAAAGCACTTAACTAATGAAGGGTTATTCAAACAAATAGTAGACTAGTAAGGTATTTCACTTCAGAAGTCTCTTCCACCCCACATGATTAGCAGCAATATCCGAAGTTAAGATATAGATTGTGTGAAGTTTCAGTACTACAGATTTTACATCTTTTACTAAATCAAAAGGAGATACTGTTCAAATATAACCTTGAGTAAAATATCTAATGCAGACAAGTCACTGAACACATCTGGAAGTTATGATGCCCTAAATATCTCCCTGTTTGGCAGTCATGTAGCAACACTAGACAAAAGAGAAAGCAATAAGTGGCTTGTTAGAATGATTGTTATGGACTGCTAAGATGTAAATAGATGCCATGTGAGCTTGTTTTGATGATATCCATAAGTTTATATAGCCTCTTAACGAAGTTAATTACATAGCTGTATGCTCACCCACATATTTAAATCCACATAATACACAGGCAATATTTTTATGCATCATAATCCAGCACAGGCTAAAGATCAATACATCTTGAGGATGCATACATGTGTTTTTCCACATTTAATAACTACATTTAAAAGGAAATGTTTTCTAAATGACAACTAAAAATGTGATGCTTAATAAAAATGATGGTGTATTCTCAGTTTGAGGGCTTTGTTTTACAAAAAGCATATTGACAGGAACACTTTTGTAATTCAAATTAGTTTTGATTTAAGGTTACCCTTAGCTTGTCTTAATTCCCCTCTCTACTTCTAAGAAGGAAAGAAGAAACATTGCAGAGGGTAGTCCCTTCAATAAGCAGAGACGTATACAGGTATATTCCAAAGCCAGTGAAAGTTAAATGCAAGAAATCCCTACATCATAAAAGAAGGTTTAATTACATTTCAAATATAGCTGAAAATAGCTTTCTTCTGTACCATTATCATTTACAAAGCCAGCACTGCTCCAGGAGCAATCTATTAGTTAACTGATACTGCCTAGTAAAACCGGCCAAAATTCAAAGTTTCCAGTTCATGGAATATTTCAACATTTCAAAATTTGGTTTTGGCCAGGTTCAGGCTGAAACCAAATGTCTGAAAGTTTCTCATGAACCAGGAATTCTGAACAAAGATTGTTTCAAAAGCACCAAAACATGGTGTTTCCAAAACAAAATATGATCCCCAATTCCTGGCACCTCTTTTGTGAAACTGACATGATATCAGCTTCACCACTGCTATTCAATGGCGGACAACAGTGAAACTGACAAATTTCAGCAGCTGCCAGGGATCCTTGTTATGCAGACTTCCCCAGAGCTGGGCACCCCAGGGCTTCCAAACTTCTGGACCATCTGGCTCTCTGAGCTACCTGACTCACACCACCTGGGGAGTCAACTGGCCCAGAGTCTGGAAACCCTGGCTCTGCACCCTAGCTCAAATCAGGGCTCTCAGGACTTTCAGAGTCACAGCTCAAGCTGAGATTTCCAAGCTCCTGGATTCAGTGACAGCGAGCCTAGAACCACTGTGAGCCCTGGCTCCAGGCTCACAGCAAGGCACCTGAAGACTCTGAGACCCAGCTCAATCCAAAGGCCCCAGGCTTCCCATTCTACTGTAGGGACCCTAGAAACCTGGGCTCTCCTGCCCCAAAGCACACTGCACAGCTGGGGTGTACCTGAGCCACGGACCTATGGTTCCGTGGTGACCTGGCAGGGACCAGGAAGGTTTCCTCAGGAGTTTCCAACCGGTTCTACTGCCTAGCCAGCAGAATACAACTTACCTTTGCAATTGCCACAAAGTTTCATGGAAACTATGGTTACATCTTTGGCAATTTAATAGGGAAGATTGAAAGACATCCAGTGCATTTTCCTCTTTAGCATAAAACAATTTTAAGGTATGAAAAATTTGGGGCCTAAACTATCAGTCTCCTTTCCTCTCTTAAGTAATTGAGAAAGCTAATCTTCACAAATCCATTAAAAATTATGAAGGTTTCTTATAGATTCAGGACCAGGACAACCTTCAACAGCCAAGAAAGGAACCCATCCTATCATTCAGAGCATAGTAAAGCAGGAATTCCTTAAATATGCCTGAATAGGATTCAAAACAAAGAGCTCTTTAGTGTGTAAACTGATCAAAAGAGTGAAAAGAGAACACTTCATTGGAAAGATTACTCCAGCTACAACTTGGTTTGGATTGAGAAATTGTCCTAAAAAGTACAAGCCATTTACAAAATGTGAATTTAAGTTCAATTTTTAACAGGCAAACTTTCAGGTTGACTTGGGCCTCAATCCAGCAAGACACTTAAGAATGTGTTTAACTTCAAGGAAGTGAGGAGTCCTATTGATGTGCCCCAGTGCATTTCTTGGAACCTAAATGGCTCAAGGACAGTGATAAGGCTCTGGAGCCCTTCAGTTCTAGGTTACCAGTGACCTTAAGCCACTGTCATCTGGAAGCTGTGTGGCAGTTTAAATGAACAAATTGGTGGTTTCAGTCCTGAATGGACAAGCATACAAAGACCTCTACCACAATTAACACTAGTTGGAACTACTGGTAGCATTGTTGGCAGTGGCAAAGGGCTGAACAGGTTTAGAGACTGAACTATTCACCCTGGAAGTGATCCTTCTAGAATAAGACTCATGCACATTGACAGGACAGGGTGGGGAAGCTTGCACTTCCACTACTCTTGGCTTATCTGTTCAAAGTCCAAATATTTGTGTGGAAGCTTATTCCGCCAGCCCATCCTACCTGCCCTGAGGCTCCCCTCTCCTACAGCTGCTTTTCCAGCCTATGGAGTAAGTAGTGGCCACAGCCAATCTGTACTACTTGTATATCCACTGGCCCAAATGCCTGTACATGATTATGGAATCTATAGGCCAACTCATAACTTGCTATTGATAGTGTCCTGTAAGCTAGTTTATACTGGGAGAGTACCAAGACCAAATATGCAGTAAGCGGACTGTAGAATGTCTCCCATCACTTTTGCACCTGAGATGACTACTTCGCCACTTCAACCGCGCCCTCAACATATGAAGCTCTCCAAGGTTCAAGAAGTGAAATTCACATGCTGTCAATAGAAGACATGAGTCTCTAGCACCTTTCACCACCATAAGAGTTAATTAGTTTTGACTTTAAAGTGTACTTTCATTTTTAACTCATCTAAAGCTTTGTGCTTTCAACAAGCGTACTGTCCTAGAGATTTGCTTTTAAAAGACAATTTTATACATAGGTTTTGATTCAGTGTAGTATGTCGTAATAGTATTTTCAAAAAGTCTTTTCCTTTAACATGGCCTTTCAAGAGGGCACCACTGGATTACCAAATGCAGCGCATAGGACAAAGGCCATCATCACCTGAGAAATTGTACATGCCTATAGGTAAAATAAGCAGCACATAAGCATGAATTTGGGATACCAATACGTCATTCAACTCCAGAAAACCGGTAAAAAGTATTTGCACAGTTTTAGCCTCCATAGCAGTTAAAATTTATATAATCATGATGAGATTACAAGATTGGTTGGTATCACTAATTTAAAAAAAAATAAATCAATATAACACATTACATGGATTAAAAACTGATCTCAAAGAGTAACTGCGAGTCACTTTGCATCCAAAGCCAAAGGTCATGTTTCTAGCGGAGGTCCAAAAAAATTGACCCTTGGCCCAATAATATTTGGGTCTATGATTTTTGAAGGAAATAAAACTGCTAGAAAGTCACAGATGACAACAACTGGTAATATAGGAACGATAGATCAGTTCAACAGAGATCTGTATTGCTTGGAAAACTAGTGTTATTTGAACATGTATTTTTTAGTGCAGTCAAATTCAAGGTCATACATCCAGGAAAAAGGCAGGTCACACTTACAGGATGGTTAACTGTATCCCAGAAAGTAGTGACTCAAGAGGACTTGACAGATGACCTACTGAACACAGATTCCCAGGACAATGCAATGACTCAGAGGGTTAACATGATCCTTGGATGTACCAACAGGGTGTGATGGGGTATACAAACCCCACACTGGGCCCAAAGGGGTCAAAAGGCAATACTAGGCCCAGGTAGCCCTGCCCTTTTGGGTCTGCTAAGCATGCTCTGGCTGGAGAAGTGGGTAAAAGAAACTCAGAAGCCCAGGAGGACAGGCTGCTGGAGAGATGACTCCTTCTCTAGGAAGCTAGATGGAAGGCTGAGCCTGAGAGGGTACTACAGAGTGGGTAAGGCCCACAGGCAAGGCCTTCTCCAACCGCTACCCTCTTTGAGAACCAGCAGGTCCTGCAGGGCCCTGCTCACTTGGACTCCTTTGTTAAGTTATTGACTGCCCCAAATAGGTAGGAGGTAGCCTAGAACTGCGGATGTAGACTCTCCGCAGGGAGGACCCTGCTGGTGTTGCTTCCCACAAAGCCCAAGGCTGGGACCCAGTGGAGAGGGAGGGCTCCCTGCTATACCCCCGTTAAGAGCAAAGACCCAGATGTAGGTGGAGGCCAAATCACTCACGGCTTAGCCCTGGTCTACACTGGGGGTGGGGGTGGGGGTGGGGTGGGGAAATCAATCTAAGTTACGCAACTTCAGCTACATGAATAACGTAGCTGAAGTCGACGTACTTAGATCTACTTACCGCGGTGTCTTCACTATGGTGAGTTGACTGTTGCCTGTGCCTCTTGCTGAGCTGGAGTACAGGAGTCGACGGGAGAGCGCTCGGGGATCGATTTATCGCATCTAGACTAGACGTGATAAATTGATCCCCGCTGGATCGACCGCTGCCCGCCGATCCAGCCAGTAGTGAAGACATACCCTTAGAGTCAGAAACCACGCACTTCTACTGCCCTGACAGAGCGACAAGGGGCTGGAAGTCGGGTACACTAACTGCACTAATCCCTCCGAGCACCCTGTTGCACAGGGAAATAGAGTGTAGATGTAGAAAGGTGATATGTCTCTCACACTGAAATCATGGGACTTACTGGATTTGGGTGCAAGTCTGTGCTCACACTTCAGAAAGGATGCTGAATAGTTGGACAGGGTTCAGAATCATTAAGTCTGGGAAAC